CAAAAGAAGACGAGCTCAAAAACGAGCAAGCATCAATAATAGACTAAGAGTGAGAGTGAAATAGGATCAACAGACTGACAGACTGTCTGAACAGATGAGAGAAGACATCTCGTTTACCTGGTATCTTGTGAGTCACATAAATTTGAATACCCCCATTAGGCACCCCCTTTCGTTGTATAGATAGAGTTAGGCAAATTTCCAAAAATCAAATTTTATAATTCTGTTCTAAACTTCAATTTTGTGTTAATAAATTTCCTTAAATTGGTTATATCTAACTCTGCATTCTTCCTTCCGAGAGGCTCATTCCTGGACTTTGGAGTGGCTCTCACCCTCGCATCTTAATCATTTATTTCGTCTTAATCGTCTTAGATAAAACACACCTTGTAGCAGGACCCTACCCAAAAAAGTGCATAATAAATCTTTATGGCCCCTAAATCCCATAACCTTAATCTTATTGAAAATCTTGAGATGAATTTAAATTGAAAGATTTGTGTGCAAGTCTACATGACTGCATTAATTATAAGGAAAAGTTACAGCAGCTCATTATTAGTTTGCCAAAACAATGTGCTTTTGTATTAAAAAACTATGGATACCAAATTAAATATTAAGCTGTATTCTTATCTGCTGGTAAGCCATTTAACCAACCACCTTAAACATACTATTGCTAAATTAAAGAAAAAAAATTTATTTTCAGATTCCTGTGCAGGATTCTAAAAATCTTTGGCCACCATCATATATTAAAATCTAAACTAATTAGTAATTAAATTTTGAATTCTAAAAACTAATCAGATTCAATCATAAAGTTTGTTAATTCAAATTATCATTAAATAATAATCATATTTTTCAGTGCCGTAACTAGGCAGGTGCAACAGGTGCACCTGCACAGGGCCCACTTGGAAGGGAGGCCCAAGCTGCCGTTCACAAAAAATTATATTTTTAAATTTTAAATTTTCCGCCTTTCTACATCGCAGTTTGGCGATTACATTTCGCCTTACTTAGACCCTAGATGTCTGCTCACTAGTGTTCCCAACTGTGGCGACTTTTAGAGGGATGTAGTGAGGTAGCAGAGACATCAGATAAATCAGCCAAAAGTAGCAACTTTTGATATTTTTTAATTTATTTTTTGAGAAATTTGAATTTATGTTTATAGTTTTCAAAATTACAGATTTTTTTCTACTTTATAGAGCTCTCTGGCAACTACTAATATTATTATGATATACAAAACTGTATTTCTAGATTTTNTTAAAAGAAATTTAAAATATAAGAATTACCAATAATCTACAAAAAATGTATAAAATACATTCTAAATGAAAATATAATACAGCTGTCCCTTGTTAGTCCAACATTTTGTAATCCGACATGCTCAGCAGTCCGACGCACCTCCCGTCAAGGTACCCGTCCCCATTACATGTCTGCTAGCACAGAAGCATGTCGCAACGTGAATCTCCCCACCCAATTCTTACACGATGACACACATTTCGTATGTTTTCCGTGAGCAGTTCTATTAGAACAGTTGGAGTAGGGAATATTGTAAGCTACTGCTAGCAAAACAATGCCAAATATGTAATCACTTTTGGTAATCCGACACCTCTTTGGTCCCATACTTGTCAGATTATCAAGGGTCAGCTGTATTAAAAAAAAACTTATATTCATAAATTAATTTACAGCTATGGAAATAGTGCATAATTTTCCATGTTCAGTTATAATTGAACAAAAGCAAATACTGAAAAAATTCATTTATACCTGATAAACATGTTTTATTTTAAAATGAAAACAAACCTAAGAGTGAATATAAAATTGCATAAATATTGTAGTTGGTTGTATAATGAATAATATAGATGTTAACAAATGCAGTGTACAAATATATAGGGTTTTTTTATACCATAAAATGAACAAATGTCAAAATCTTCTGGTAAAATTTCCTTTATCACAAGATAACTGCTTTATTTTGGGAACCAAATATAACATTTTAAAGATTATCAGCACAAAACCTTTCTCACTAATTCCTAGCCTTATTAACTGGAGTACTCCAGTTAATAAGGCTAGAAATTAGTGAGAAAGGTTTTGTGCTGATAATCTTTCAAATAGTTCTAGCTACATATGCATAGTAGTATAACATTTTATTTAATAACATTTTCATTACTGCTTGAGAATATCTTCAGTTGTAATTCGGAACATAAAGACAGTGTTAAAAAATGTCAGAATAAATACATTTGAAAGTCAAATTAATGAAACATTTATGATTTTAAATTATTCCATTTACACACACTGTTTGAAATTATACATAATAGGTGACAAAAGTTTCTGGTCTAACTATGTTTAAGATGTTATAGGTATAAAACAATGATGTCATTTTTTCAATATAGTCTCCTTGCAGTTCAATGCACTTATTACCTCTTGGAATTACCGTTTCAATACCCTTAAAAAAATAGTCCACAGTTTTGTCTGCAAAATGCTCATAAACTGTCTTATGCAACTCTTCATCATTTTTTCAAATGTCTTTTTTGAGTTTTAAAAACAGATAATAATCACTAGGAGCCAGGTCCAGGCTATAGAGTGGTTGGTCAAGCTCTTCAAACCTCTTTCCTTCAGAGCAGCCTTCACAATGACAGCCATGTGCACTAGTGCACTGTCCTGCAAAAAGTGAACATGATGCAAATTAATGTAACAAATCTAACTAAAATAAATGTTTCCAAGCAACTTATGCAAATCGGTGGCAAAAACTATTTTATTACTCCACATACAGATGGTGGCTGTCTGATACTATCATTATTTTATTCCTATCGTGTCTAAAATATAGATAGGCAAAAAACTTTTGGAGCTTACCTTATACTTTGCACCATTATAAACAGTTTACAATATAAGTGAAAAGAAATTAAGCAAGTATCGTACATTTTTAGATTTTTCCATGCTTTATTTAATAAGTTTATTTCTAAATGTATTTTATACTTGTCAAGTCATCACTGGTAATTTTTTTTTATTTTGCATATACAAATTTCTTATACCAATCAATCAAAATATTAATTCCTACAAACTTGTTAAATAGAAAATTTTCTTCATAATTGAAGTTTCGACTATTTACAAAAATATCAAATTTTTGAGTCTATCATAATCCTTTTTTATACATCACCAGAAGTAACAGTTAACATGGTATTTGTTTTGAAGAAAAACTTCTTAAACCTGAGAGCCTGAAGCAGTTAAAGAATGGATAAGGACAGCATAATGAGAAGAATCATGTTGTTGGTGGTGGGGGTCCCTTTTCCGTGCTGGTTGGGACGGAAGTTGTTGGGTCGGCGACAAAGGCTGGTTTGAGGCGGTCGATAGTAATCGTCACCTCCTTGCTGTTGATGTTAACTCTGAACGTTTTGTCGGAGCACTGGAGTACTTGGAATGGACCATCGTATGGGGGCTGTAGAGGTTTACGTATGGCGTCGTGGCGTACAAAGACGTGGGAGCAGGTCTGTAGGTCGCGGAACACAAACATCTGGTGGTTGCCGTGCTTGCGCGGTGAGACGGGACGTAGTCGTCGCATCCTGCCTTGGAGATCGGAGACGAAATCGGACGCGTCTACTGTGTTGTCGTTGTGGAATCATGAATTCTTCATGTTTTTAATGTAAAGTGTCAGAACCTACAATAGAAGGCTGACACTTGATCATTTTTAACATTGTAACCTCTTTTTACTTGTTTACCTGTGTTTTTTAAGAAGTTTTTCTTCAAAACAAATACCATGTTAACTGTTACTTCTGGTGATGTATAAAAAAGGATTATGATAGACTCGAAAATTTGATATTTTTGTAAATAGTCGAAACTTCAATTATAAAGAAATTTATCCTGAGTTAATACATAAATTGTGTTCATAAGAAAATTTTCTGCATTATCGTATATTAGCATCATGAATTAACAAACATAATAGTTTTTAAATTCAAGAAGAGATCACTATTTTTAATGAATGTTATTTACGTCCTTGATAAAAGTTAAAATGTTTTGTTAATTTATAAAAAAGTTTTATTTTTCCTTGTCCAATTCCAACTCTTGTTTTATGAATCATATAATAAAATTTTAAAAAATATCATATTTATTCAAATATAAGACGATCTTGCATATAGGATGAAGTGTGACTTTAAAAATCAAAATACAGAAAATTAGATTTATTAATACAATTCTAATTTTATTTTGTTTAATAACAAATAAAATATCAAATGCACATAAATGCACACATTATCCTGCAAAAATTACTGGCATTTTAAACTTCAAGGAAAAATCTTGTAAAATTGACAACATAATTTGTTCATGTAAAGCTGGACAATCAAGAATATTTTTTGCCAATTCTTAACAGTCAAATTCACTCTTCATTGATTAAACTTATTAGTTTCTTTGAATTTCCAAATAATCGTCTCTTTTCATGTGGGAATGAATTAAAACTTATATTGAGTTCCCATGTAATTTTGGAATTAAATTCAAAAGCTTTGCTTTTCTTATTGAAATTCATCTTTACTCCTGACAATACACAAGAATGATTCAAACGACCCAAATAAAATACTTTTGTTTTTAAATGCCAGAAAGTGAGAATCTGATAAAATATGCAAATACATAGTTTACAAAAATTATACAAAAACGAAAAGAATCCTTCGCTCGTGTGTATAGGCAATGGTGATATTCGAAATATTTAACAAAGGGTTCGCTAACAAAAAATTTTTCCTTAACAATTTTTTTTCGCTCATATGGTGCATCGGGAGGCTCTAGTTTAGTAGTGTTACAGAGTATAATACATATATTTTAATATATTTTTTAAAAGAAACAAAACCACTGAAAAATGTTACATGTGAGAAATGTTACAAGGTTCGGAAAACTTTGAAAATGTTAACAACGGGTTCGGCCGAACCTGTGCGAACCCGCTGAATATCACCACTGCGTATAGGACTACCTAGGTTTTTGAAGCAGTGAAAAATGAATAAAAACTTTGTCTTATACGTGAGTAAATATGGTAATTAAAATCTCAAATTTCACAAACCTTCCTTATTCACCACGTATTCAAATATAGTTTCTTTTTCATCTTTTTTAACAGGAGGCAGATTTAGAATTTTTTTATTTTTAAATAATAGTTCTTCAAGCATTGCTCTTTCATTTTGCTCTAATAAGGCACCTAATGACCACATAATAGCAAATACAAATATTTTTTCTATTTGTTCTTGAGAAACTGTTACTCTGTGTTCCATCGGTAACAATCCTTCTAATATATCCAAAGCCTAAAATTAAAATAATAATTAATAATTTAAAATTAAAACAACATTGTTTTAACAAACACTAGCTTATTTTACTGTATGTATTAAATTTATTTTAAAAATTATAATAAGTTTATAAAATAAATTTCTTAG